AGTGCTGCCTCCTGGCGGCGGCGCTACTGCCCAGACACCTTTCCGACCTGTGGAGACCACTTTTAATTTGGGATCGCTAAGCTGATGCAATCGCTCCCCCAAGGGGGCGGGAGTCGCGAACCCAGGGGAAGAGACCCCTCCCCCGGCTCCAAGCAGGCGCCGCCTCCTCTCCCCTGTCCCCTTGGGGCTTTCCAGAACTGGGTCCTTTCGAACTCTCAGCCGAGTGACTCCGGGCTGGACGCAGAGGTCACCAGGGTTTGGGGCTCCCTTTGCCCAGACCCCGTCGGGCCGCCAGCTGGAGCTGGATTGGGTGGGTGGAGTGCGCGTTCCTGGGGCGGAGGACTCGTCTCTAAGGCTATCCACGGTCATTTTCATTTCCACGGGCAGTGCAGCTGTGGCGGAGCCAGGAGAGGGCTGGGGTTGCGGGGCCCCTCGGTTCGCGGACCTTTGTTCCCATCGCCTACACCTACCGCAGCCCCTTCTTCCAGTGGGGGTGGCGGCTGCTTGACCAGGCGGAGGCTCTGGAGGGGGAAGTCTGGCGTGGTGGGGTCGTGGTCCCCCCAAAGCGGAGCCCTGGTCGGTCCCGTGGTCATACCTGGACTTTTGGGGAGGGTCAGCTCTTCAGAGGGACTCTTGAGTGCAGACGGTGGCTGGGTCGGGACTTGGGAAAGCGAGACCCTAGAGCCGCAGATACTGGACCGACAGGGGATCCGGGAATGCGGGGTAGGGGCAGAGTGGGACAAAGGGACAAAGGTGAGCCGGCGAGCGGGGGCGGAGGGGGGAGGGGAAGGGGCGAGGGATCACTTTCGGGGAGTGCGGGGGCGGGGTCCGGCGGAGTTCGCGCCACTGGCCTGGCGGTCCTGGCTGCCTGGGCGCACCTGCTTCGTCCTGAATCTGAGCGCGCGCCTCCTCCTACCTTCCCTTTCGTGGCCGTAGCGCATCGGTCTCGGCACTTCCACTGGGTCTCCCACATCTGGATGTGGGGTAGAGCAGCCAGGAGGCTCCTGAAGCCGGGAAAGGGCGCTAGATGAGGACCTTTTCGTTTTGCTTTCTTTCTTCCATCTACAGAACAAAAAGTCAATCCCAAACCATCGAAGGCCTCTTACTAAGCCTGAAAACCTAACTCTGCTTGCTTTCCCTTTGTTACTTTCGGAAGAATAAATAACTCTGAAGCACGGGGCGGGGCGGAGGGGGGCTCCTGGAGGTCAAATTCAAGGACTTGCCCAGGAGTCCAGCCAGCTGGAAAGTCAGGCAAGGAGGAAGCCCACCGTCATTATTTCATTGTTCATGCAGCAGACACTAGCTGAGCCCTGTGCTAGGTGATGCAGTGGTGAACGAAGCTCTCCTGAAGCGACCCTCTAGTGAGATGACAACTGACCACACCCATGGTCAAGGTCACTGGGAAGAATGTCCCAAGGCAGGTTTGTGGCCACAGCAGGGAGGTCAGTGTGGCTGGGATGGAGTGAGGGAGACAGTGAGGCCAGCTGGGGAGCAGCCTGGGTCTGCAAGGGCATGAACGTGTCCTTGGAATAATTCGGACATTTGGTGCCAGTGAATCTGGATTTCTCTGTCTCTGGGTGCAGTGTAAGTTGGCGCCTATCCAGTGGCAGAATCCCTGAGTACTCCTTCCCTGGGTTGTTTGGCAGCAGGCAAGTGCGGGTTGCAGCGTGTGGCCTGAGACCAGCAAGCTGACCTTGGCCTCAAGGCAGCAGTCACAGGTGGAATTCTGTGAAGTGCCACTCCCTGAGGACAGAGATTTATGCGATTGTCTACATTCTGAGTGGTTTAATGTGCCTCCCAAGAAGTCTGCTTGGGAAAATTGCATGTGCTTCATTCTCTAATTTTGAATATAAAGGAGCTTGCATAATTTTTAAAATATTTATTTATTTATTTGAAAGTCAGAGAGAGGAGAGGCAGAGAGAGTGAGGTCCTCTATCCACTAGTTCACTCCCCAACTGGCTGTAACAGCTGGAGCTACGCTGAGCAGGAGCCAGGAGCTTCTTCTAGGTCTCCCATGCAGGTGCAGGGGCCCAAGGACTTGGACCATCATCTACTGCTTTCCCAGGCCATAGCAGAGATCTGGACCGGAAGTGGAGCAGCCAGGACTCAAACTGGAGCCCATATGGGATGCTGGCGCCGCAGGCAGAGGCTTAGCCCACCACGCCACGCTATAGTTTTTTTATTCTGAAAAAAAAAAAAAAATCAGTATTCTCCCCACCTCTGATAAGTAAACATTCAATAGATATTTAAATAACACAGGTTTGAAGGGATTTCATTAGCTTGCCCAGGGTACCATGGCCCAATTGTCTCTTTTTAAAAAAAATTCAGGGGCCCACGACGTCAACGATGCCGTGGCTCACTTGGTTAATCCTCCACCTGCAGCGCTGGCGTCCCATATGTGTGCCGGGATCTAGTCCCGGTTGCTCCTCTTCCAGTCCAGTTCTCTGCTGTGGCCCGGGAGGGCAGTGGAGGATGGCCCAAGTGCTTGGGCCCCTGCACCTGCATGAGAGGCCAGGAGGAGGCACCTGGCTCCTGGCTTTGGATCAGCATAGCTTCGGCCATGGCAACCATCTGGGGGGTGACAACGGAAGGAAGACCTTTTTCTCTGTCTCTCACTGTCTAACTCTGTCAAATTAAAAAAAAAAATTCAGAGAGATTGACAACTCCCTTTTGTTGGTTCAGTCCCCCAAATGCCCACAATGGCTGGGACTGGGCCAGGCCAAAACTGGGAGCTGGGAGCTCTTTCCAGGTCTCCCCGCAGGAGTAGCAGAGACCCATCTACTTGAGCCCTCATTTGCTGCCTCCGAGGGTGTGCATTAACAGGAAGCTGGAGTCTGGAGGGGAGCTCCAACCCAGACTTCTGGGACCCAGTGTCCCAAGTGGTGTCTTACATATTGCACCAAACGCCCACCTTTCCACTGGTCTCTCAATCTGGCGACACACATGTCAACGTCAGCTGAACAACTTGGAGAGCTGAACACTGGGCGGCCTTACCTGATGCTTGGCTGGACCCCCACAGGTAACCTTCCTTGGTTTACCTTAGGGGCAGAAATGGCACCAAAAGCTGCCCTAACTGAGCTGCTGCATGCCCTCTGCAGAACTAAGGATAGCGCGGGAGTGAGAGAGGGAGGAGGGGAATTGTCAGGGGCCTGGGGTGGGGGCGCCATCCACCACAGGCAAAGCTCAAACGCACCATCAGTGCTGGGCTACTGGGAAGAGCAGAGGCTGGGGAGGGAATAGGAGGAGGAGCTGAGACGCGGAGAGGAGAAAGTGCCTGGAGGCCAGCAGGCGTGGAGGTCCTCTGGATCTGAACGGGCAGTCGCAGCTCCAGCCCGTCCCCTGGCCCCTCCCCACTGCCGGCCAGAGTCGCACATGTGTTTTCCTGTTTTCCAATTCGGTCCCCGTCACCCTCTGCCTTTTCTGCTCCTCAGAGCCAACCAGCCGCTGCACGAGGCATAACCCCTGGTTCCCCTAACCAGCACCAGCCCCCACCCCCCAGCGTGCTGTAGCCCCTCCTCCCCGCACCTGCCCAAAGGTCACGGGACAGGTAAGAGGTGGGAGGGGGCGAGAGGGGACGTGCAGGAGGACAATAGAGCGAGCCCTGAAAAAATCGGCCAAAGGGAGACCCAAGAGCTGCCTGTTTCCTGGTCACTGACCCAGCCCAATCTAGGCAGGAGCTTCTGCCCAGACTGTCGCTAATGGAAGCCCTGGCCACAGGAGTAAACAGTTTCCTTCTTGTTTCACTTTTTTTTTTTTTTTTTGAGGGACTCTCTTAGCCACAGTGGAATACAGAAAAACAAATGGAGAACTGTAGAGGGAGGGGCCGAGCGGCTAGCCTGAAGTGATGGGGGAATGGAGCCATCCCAAAGTGTGTGTGTGTGTGTGTGTGTGTGTGCGCGCGCGTTTTCTGTTTCTGTTGTTAAGGGAGGCAGCGCATACCAGTTGGAGCCAGGAAGGCAGGACGAGGGGTCTGGTGGGGCGTGGGGGAGGGAATGGAGAGCCAAGACCCTGACCTGCGTGCTGGTTCCTAGACTAACGGGGTCTTTGCTGTTCGTGGGTAGGGGCAGCATGTGGGGCTCCGCTGGCTGCTCAGCACGCTGGGGCCTCCTGCTGCTTGTTTGCTCAAAGCCCTGAATCTAAAACTTTCCCAGGTTGTCCCCTGAGTGTGTGGTCCTATAATCTCCCCAGTTCCTCAGAGAGGAGTGCGCCTTCGGCCGCGGAAGATGACCAGGGGGCGCTGTTCTATCTTGCGGTTTCTCCTGCAAAGTCTGGAGAAAGTCTGCCAGAGCCCCTTTAGGTGAGCCTACGGGCGCTGCTGGTCCTGGGCTGCCCGACTGGCCGGAGGCATTGCGCGGACCCCAGGCGCCCGGAGAAGAACGTGAGCTGCCGCAGGAGTGCCTCTGGCCCACGTGCTAGGCAGGGCTTGAGACAAGAGGAGGGCTTCTCCACGCTGCGCAGCCTCCCCGGCCGCGTGCGTGGGCCGCTGGAGTGGGCTGGGAGGGAGTCCCCGCTCGCAATTCCTGGCCAGACCACTAGGGCATGCTGTTTGCTGGAGTGTGGGTTTCATCGGGGCTGGTTTCTGTCTCAAGATCCCAGAAGAGGACTTCACTTGTCCGACACCACCGGTCGGGAACGAAGCCCTGCCTGGTCTGCCCCAGCGCTGCCTCCCGGCTCTCTCTTCCTTCTCTCACGTTAGGCTACATGTCCACCGTTGGTGCCGGTGAATTGGTCTTAAAAGGACTGGCTTGATGATGTGTTTCTCTGTGCCTGTGTCTGCTTCACAAGTGGGTACCCTTAGCACAGCCCCGCGATCTAGAGGACTAGTAATTACCTCTCCTCCCCTCCCCCCGAGGATGAGAAAGGGGAGGAGCGGCCGGGAAGGAAGTGAACCAGCCTCAGCCTAGGCTACTGGCTGGAGGACGGCACAGCCTTTCTGTTTCATCTAATCACATCTTCCCCCAGGTGATTCATGAGGGAGCCGCCTGCAGCGCCTTCCTGTGTGAAAGGCAGGCCTGGAGACTAGGGCAGATCGGAGGAGTGGGTGACTGGGGGGGGGGATAGGAGGAGCTCTGGGTTTGGAGTGGGGTCCCCCCACCCTGTGGGTGACTGAGTGCCTGCCCCAGTGAGATAATGTGCTCGAGTGCTTAGCGGCTGTGGTCTGGTGAGTGCTGGAGGAAGCCAGCTATTACTATTACAGGAGAGTTTTGGGGGGTGCTGGGAGGAAAGGAAAGCGATTTCAGGTATTTGTGAAGCTGTGTTGGCGGAAGCAGGATCTTTGGATAGGGCTAGCACCGGGTGACCCCCTCCTGGTCCAAACAAAATGTGCAAGGGGCTAGCCGGGGGAGGGGGTGTGGAGCATAGATAAGTCTCCCTGGGGTTTTTAGATCCCTGCTGCTCTCCGGTTGTAGAATAAGGTTGTAGAATAACCGAAGAGGAAGCGGGTAAGGAGGGGGCAGGCTGGTGGATTTCAGGACAGATACATTCGCAAAAGAGACTGAGAACAGAGGGTTTCAAGTAGACTACGGAGATAGAATAAACTCTGATTTCCAACAAGTGCTTTGCTTCCTCTGCTGGTTCTGGGCCTGTCTGTCCAGAATAGCTCAGTGAAGTCGTATTTCCCCATGTTTTTAAAAAATTGAAGGAAGGTTGTATTGGGGGAAGGTGTTTATAGAAGTTCCCCCTACCCCCAGGGACCTTGGTCTGCCTTATTAAGGATGAAAACCCACGTGGGCGGGGTGAGGCTTAAGCTCATTCCTTGACCTCATTCCATTAGAAGTTGCTGGGGTCCCGATGGTCCTGGTTTTGGGGCAGCCTCCCGCCCCGCGTGGGGAAGTGTGCGCAGTTACCCAGTCACGAGGCGCAGGGACAGCGCTTAAACTTCCTCTAATCTCCGCCTGTGAGCAAGGCTTTGTGTCTCAGTGTGCAGCCTTCCTGCCTCTTCATGGTTTGGGGTGGAGAAGTGAGGCGAGGGTGGCGCCCTCGCAGTGCCCCCTCCCTGTCCTCAGCTAACTTGCTTGGGGGACAGCTTTGCTTGGGCGCCCTGCTGACTGTCCTTTCTTCTGCGCTCCCTGTCCCTGAGCAGAGCTGACAAAGGAGATTCCTGTGAGAGCCTTGCCTTCTTATCGCCAGAAAGTGCTGAGCCAAGAGCTCCTGGCTGCCCCTTTTGCAGATGTGAAGGGCCAATGAACCTTGGACCCAGACAGTTGCTTAACACCCCCTCCCCCGTCCTCACCCCTTCCTTCCCCCTCCCTCAACCCCTCCACCCTTCTTGACTTAAATCCCTAGGCGGTTGTCTGGTCTTCCCTTCCACTGCTGGCTGAGGAGGAGGAGCGGTTGGACTGGCCATTCCTGGAGGGCGCGTCTCTACGCCACGGCCCTGGGAACCTGCTCGCGTCCAGGACCAGGGAGTAAGTGTACAGCCCACTGCCCTTGCCTGCCTCCCCTCTGCTGCTCTGCACTTTGCAGTCTCTTCCTCCCTGGGCGCCTCTGGCCCTGCCCTGTCTCCACTCGCCTGAGTAGCCGACCCTGTTTCTCCCCCAGCTGTCCCGCACTGTGTTTCTTGAGAACCACAGCCTTCGCTTCAGCTGTTTCTCTGCCTGGGCTTTGGCTGTGTCTCTGCCACGGCAGCCCCCAGTGGGGAGCTGGTCGGCAGCTGCCTCAGGTCCTCAGGTCGTCTCTGGGTCGCCCTTCTTTTTTTGGGTGGTATGACTGTGCTGATGTGAAGGCTTTGGTGGCGGGAGACCTGGAGTCCTAGAGACTGGGCAAGGCATCCGGGGAGAGGGAGGACAAGGCAGAGACAATGAGGCTGCTGGGCTTTGCCAGGGCTGCGGACTCCAGCTGGGGGTGGTGTGAGGGATGCTTCCAGGACAGTAACCGGCTTGTGGGGTTCCAGGAGGTGATCTGGGGAACCTTTCAGTTTTCCAGAGCTAGGGTCTTTGGGCGGAGAAAGCACCGTGAGGGGAACCACACAGAGTGGCTGCTCTCAACGTTTGTTTCTGATATTGTATCTAGCACAGGTGATGAGTGAGGCTGAAGTTGGGAGGGAAGTCAGACCTTTTGGGTAAGGCTGAAAACTCCAATTCAAAGCGCTTTGGTTACACCTGGGACCTGCCAAGCTGCCCCATGTGCCTGTCTTGTTTCACTGGAGGTCCCGACAGAACTAGGATTTCGTTTTCTCTTGGCAAATCAGGTAGACGGCACCATCCTGGTGATAAGAGACAGATGCTGTCTTTCTGGGGGAGTGAGTGCCTTACCTTCAGAATTTGGGTTGGGGTCATTTTGATGAGCCAGCTGGAGAGGAGGAGGTTGCTCAGAGATGGGAAGCAGGAGGGAGGTCTCAGAAGTGGTGGGTGGGCCGCCCATACCGGCTCCTGTGCGTGCCAGGGGAGAGGTCTGGCTAATTACCACCAGCCATCCAATCTGTCTCCTCTTTCTTCCTTGGAGGGCCATGCCAAGAAGCTGGTGAAGGCTTTCCTGTCCTCTTGCACCATGGTCGACGGCGTCAAATATGAAGTGGCCTCCCAGCATGAGCCAGATGGCGGCCCTCTGGAAGATGGGGCCAGCCCGGGGTCCGAGCAGGTCAAGCTGAAGAAGGAGATCTCGCTGATTAACGGCGTGAGCCTCATTGTGGGGAACATGATCGGCTCGGGCATCTTTGTCTCCCCCAAGGGTGTGCTCATGTACAGTGCCTCCTTTGGCTTCTCCCTGGTCATCTGGGCTGTCGGGGGCTTCTTCTCTGTGTTCGGGGCCCTTTGCTATGCGGAACTGGGCACCACCATTAAGAAATCTGGAGCCAGCTATGCCTACATCCTGGAAGCCTTCGGGGGACTCCTCGCCTTCATCCGCCTCTGGACCTCCCTGCTCATCATCGAGCCCACCAGCCAGGCCATCATTGCCATCACCTTCGCCAACTACTTGGTGCAGCCCTTCTTCCCCAGCTGCTTTGCCCCCTATGCTGCCAGCCGCCTGCTGGCTGCTGCCTGCATCTGTAAGTGGGGCTGGGCAGGAGGCAGTGGGCGGAGGCTGGGATGCAAGTCTGGTTAGACAGCAAGAAGATGGGAACGGATGCCTCTGCCAAAACCAAGTTTGTGTAGAAATTCAGTTTACCGTAGAGCGTAAACAAAAATGGTAGCAACCTGCGTTTCCTCAACTTCCCATGGTAAGAAGCAGTTTGCATGCTCTTCCTTGAGTCTTTTAATAAAGGTTTTTTTTTTTTTTTTAAATATTAATTTATTTGAAAGGCAGATTTAGGGCAGAGAGAGAGAGAGAGAGATCTTCCATCTGCTGGTTCATTCCCCAAGTGGCCTTATCAGCCAGCACTGGGCCAGGCTGAAGCCAGGGGCTTCTTTCAGGTCTCCCATGTGGGTGACTGGGGCTCAAACACTTGGGCCATCTTTTGCTGCTTTTCTCAGGCCATTTAGAAGGGAGCTGGTTATGAAGTGGAGTAGCTGGGACTTGAACCTGTAGTCATATGGGATACCAGCATCGCAGGTGGTAGCTTTTTACCCATTCCACCACAATGCTAGCCCCTCCAGATCTACTTTTTTTTTTAAAAAAAGTTTCATGTTATTCCTTCTTAATTTTAAAACTGTAGTTTATTTAACCACCCAGCCCTCTGCTAATGGCCATGTAGGTAGCTCCAGGTTTTCAGCCTTACAGATAATGCTCCAGTGAATATCCTTTTGCACTTGCATGAGTATTTCTGTGGGCTAGATTTTTTTAAAAAGATTTATTTATTTATTTGAAAGGCAGAGTTACAGAAAGGCAGAGAGAGGTCTTCCATCTGCCAGTTCACTCCCCAGATGGCTGCAATGGTCATAGTTTGGCCGATCCGATGCCAGGAGCTTCTTCCAGGTCTCCCATGCAGGTGCGGGAGCCCAAGGACTTGGGCTGTTCTCTGTTGCTTTTCCAGGCCATAGCAAAGAGCTGGATTGTAAGTGGAGCAGCCATGACTTGAATTGGCGCCCATATGGGATGTGAGCACTGCAGGCGTTGGCTTTACCCCCTACGCCACAGCGCCAGCCCCTAGATTTTTTTTTTTAAGATTTATTTATTTTTACTTGAAAGTCAGAGTTACACAGAGAGAGAAGGAGAGGCAGAGAGAGAGGTCTCCCATCCGCCTGTTCACTCCCCAGATGGCAGCAACGGCCAGAGCTGCAGTGATCCAAAGCCAGGAGCCAGGAGCTTCTGGATCTCCCACGTGGGCGCAGGGGCCCAAGGACTTGGGCCATCTACTGCTTTCCCAGGCTACAGCAGAGAGCTGGATTGGAAGTGGAGCAGCCGAGACACGAACTGGTGCCCATATGGGATGCTGGCACTGCAGGTGGCGGCTTTACCCACTTCGCCACAGCGCCGACCCTGCACCTAGATTTTGAAGATTTTATTGGGGGGCCAGTGCTTTGGCATAGCGGGTAAAGCCACCGCCTGCAGTGCTGGCATCCCATATGGGTGCTGGTTTGAGTCCTGGTTGTTCCACTTCCAGTCCAGCTCCCTGCCAATGTGCCTGGGAAAGCAGTAGAGGATGACCAAAGTGCTTGGGCCCCTGCACCCACATGGGAGACCCAGAAGAAGCTTCTGATTCCTGGTTTTGGATCGGCCCAGCTCCGGCTGGTGGATGTGGCCGTTTGGGGAGTGAACCAGTGTTGGAAGACCTCTTTATCTGCCTCTGCCTTACAAATAAATGAATCTTTTAAAAAGAAATAAAGTAGGCTTGCTCTTTAAAAAAAGAATTTATTGGGACCACTGCTGTGGTGGAGTGAGTAAAGATGCCTTTGATGACTCCATCCCATGTGGGCACTGGTTTGAGTCCCAGCTTTTTTTTTTTTTTTTTTTTTTTAAGATTTACTTATTATTTATTTGAAAGTCGGAGTTACACACAGAGAGAAGGAAAGACAGAGAGAGATTGAGAGAGAGAGAGAGAGAGAGAGGTCTTCCATCCGCTGGTTTACTCCCCAGTTGGCCGCAATGGCCGGAGCTGAGCTGATCTGAAGCCAGGAGCCAGGAGCTTCTTCCTGGTCTCCCATGCAGGTGCAGGGGCTCAAAGACTTGGGCCATCTTCCACTGTTTTTCCAGGCCATAGCAGAGAGCTGGATCAGAAGTGGAGCAGCCAGGACTTGAACTGGCCCCCATATGGGATGCCAGCACTGCAGGCGGCGGCTTCACCCCCTATGCCACAGCTCCAGCCCCAGGTGTTCCACTTCTGATTCATCTCCCTGCGAATGCACCTAGGAAAGCATTGGAAGATAGCCCAAGTGGTTGGGCCCATGTTCCCATGTGGGAGACCCAGAAGAAGCTCTTGGCTTCTGACAGGCCCAGCTCTGGTTATTGTGGCCATTTGGGGAGTGAACCAGTAGATGGAAGATCGCTCCCTCTCTTTCTCTGTCTCTCCCTCTCTTTCTCTGTCTCTCCCTCTCTTTCTCTGTCTCTCCCTCTCTTTCTCTGTCTCTCCCTCTCTCTCTGTCTCTGTAACTCTGCCTTTCAAATGGCAGAGTTACAGAGAGAAAGAGATCTTCCATCTTCTGGTCACTCCCCAAATGGCTGCAATGGCTGGGGCCCTGCCAGTCAGAATCTAGGAGCTTCATCTGGGTCTCCCTTGTGGGTTTAGGGGCCCAAGCACTTAGGCCATCCACCACTGCTTTCCCAGGCACATTAGGGAGCTGAATCAGAAGTGGAGCAACTTGGACTCAAACTGGCACCTATAAGGGATGCTGGCATTGCAGGTGGCAGCTTTACCTGCCACACCACAACACCCACCCCAAGGGCTAGATTCTTGAAAGCATCATTTTAGTCTACCTTGGCTTTCTCTCCATCTCATCAGTAAAATATTATCTAAATCTGTACCAGATGGAAGACCTTTCTCCCTGTCTCTCCCTCTTTTTGTTTGTCGCTCTACCTCTCAAATAAATAAATAAAATCTTAGAAACAAGTGAACAGACTCACATTAGAGGTGCTGAGAGGAGGGTCTACAGCCTCACCTCCCTGGTGCCTCTGTTCTAGAGAAGTGCCCTTCTAGCCTGGGAGAGCCTGGGACCCTTGGAGATGCCCCCACCCCCAGCTGTGAAGCAGCTCAGGCACTTTGTCAGTTGAAGGGGCGGAGCAGCAGCAGTGGGGGCGGGGCGGATGCAGGAATTTCCCAACAGGTGCAGTGGATCACTGGGTCACTTCTCTCCAATCAGCCTTGTGTCCTTTCCCCTTTCGGTTTCTCTATTGCCGCATTTACTCTTCAGCTTCCTCTCCCGCCTCCCTGGTTTGCTGTTGTGTAGAGAACTGGCTGTCCTCTGTGAGGTCCTCCGGGGTCGCCTGGGTCCATGAGTGGGGCTCCAACTCCTCTCTGTGGATGGGATGTTTGCGGTGCATGGAGACGGTCGGAGACGGCTAGCAGGCTCTGCCTTGTGTTGCAATGGGGGTTTCCCTGAGGACTTACATGTGATCTGTAGTTTCTCTTGCAGCATTTGCAGATGATCTGAAAGGCTAATTTTAGGATCTGTTGGCCTGGGGGCCCCTCAAATGGAGGTGGGGACTTCTCCATCTTGTGTAGAAAAGGCTTAGTTCCTCCTCTAGCATTTCCAAGATGGTGGCAGCACTTTAAGCACTGGGATTCTATTATTTTAACCATCTTTGTTGAAATCTTTAGACCCAGTGACGTGTTTGCTTGTCTGCGTAATTTGACATTTCTTTTGGTGATTCAAGGTCACTGTGACAGTCTCGTTTCTTCTGTGACAATGAGGCCTTCCCGGGCCCCTGAGACAGGTGCTTCCTTGGGCTCTCAGGCTGGGGGCCTGACTCTCCTCCTTTCTGCTCTCCTCTGGTTTCTGTCTGTGTCATCTGACAGCTGTTGCTCCTTGGTTCTGGCATGGTGCCTACCTCCACCAGTCACCCCTTTTCAACTTGCTGCTTCTAATTTGGGAGTAGAGACATAATCAAACCCTTGAACAGCCACGTACACAAACACACACATGTCCAGCCTTGTCAGAATATATGCGAAGTGGCCATGATTATGGCTGAGTCTGTAGCGCTCCCCAGAAAGTGGGGGCAAGTAGTTTTTTTTTTTTTCTTAAAAAGATTTTGTTTATTTGAAAGAGTTACAGAGAGAGGTAGAGCCAGAGAGAGAGGGAGGTCTTCCATCTGCTGGTTCACTCCCCAAATGGCCACAACAGCCAGAGCTGAGCTGATCCGAAGCCAGGAGCTTCTTCTGGGTCTCCCACGCGGGTGCAGGGGCCTAAGGACTTGGTCCATTTTCTACTGCTTTCCTAGGCCATAGCAGAGAGCTGGATTGGAAGGGGAGCAGCTGGATCTCAAACCGGTGCCCATATGGGATGCTGGCACTGCAGGTGGTGGCTTTACCTGCTATGCCACAGTGCTGCCCCCCCCCTTTATTTTAAATATTTTATTTATTTATTTGAGAGGCAGAGTTATAGAGAGGGGAGGAGACAGAAAGGTCTTCCATCTGCTGGTTCACGCCCCAAATGGCCACAACTGCCGGAGCTGGGCTGATCCAAAGGCAGTAGCCAGGAGCTTCTTCCAGGTCTTCCATGTAGGTGCAGGGGCCCAAGCACTTGGACCATCCTCTGCTGCTTTTCCAGTCCTTAAGCAGGGAGCTGAACTGGAAGAGGAGCAGCTGGAACAGAAACTGATGCCCACATGGGTTGCTGGCCCTGCAGGCAAAGTCTTAGCCTACTATGCCACAGTGCCAGCCCTGAGCATGTAGTTTTGTGCATGGATCTATGGTGTCTGTTTGAGAGGATTCCCGATGAGGTAAAAGTGCTTCTGTCCTGTGTTTGAGGCTTGGCTTAATAGCTGTGTGACCCTATGCAGGGGGCAGTAGTGGACAGTGACTGTGTAGTTTTTTTTTAAAGATTGATTTATTTATTTGAAAGGCAGAGTTACAGAGAGAGAAAAGGGGAGGTAGAGAGATCTTCAAAGCCAGGAGCTTCCTCTGGGTCTCCCACATAGGTGACAGGGGCCCAAGGACTTGGGTGGTCTTGTTGC